CCCCCTTCAGGTGACAAAAGCAGCGTCTATCCGGTGAGGATGCAGCTTTGTACCGGCCAAGCCGGTGTTGGTATTGCCCTGAGTCAGCGGACCGAAGCTATTATGGTTGACTGGATCACAATCAGTAGCCGGATGTGCACCGTCAGATTGCACAGCTCATTCACAGCTTCGAAGTCGTGCGGGGCTATTAGGTGTCTGCTTGTCATCGCTGCCTACGCCCCCACAAACTGTAGCGATGAAGCGGTAAGGGACGACTTCTATCGCCACAGAAGAAACACTGACACTGTAGTGCTGGATGGGGATCTGAACGCTCAATTTGGGAAATTGTTCGCTGATGAGTTGCATCTGGGCGATCAATATGGTGTAGGCTCAGTGAATGATAACGGCGAGTGACTACTTCATTTGTGTACAGATGCTCGCTTATTTCTTGCGAGCGCTAACTTCCCATAGAGCCAACCATCCTTGGACGCAAAGCGATCACTTCGCGATCAAGTACCGCTGAAGAGGCCGCGTCTAAAACTGTCGCTCGATTTGGAGCAGATGTGTGGACACTGACTATGCACTTGTATGTGTTGATCAGCGGCAGCGTTTTGGCGGACGCCCTCGACGACACCAACCAACTGGCAAAGTCACATGCTCTGAGTGAGTATCGAAGTACGCCGACATTCGGGTTGAGTAAGATTTCACTGAATACAGTTGAAGGTCGCTACTCACACGTTCAACAGACCTCAGTAGCAGCAGGTAAATCCACATGTGGTAAATACAACAGACAACACAGACATCGGGACATTTTGCAGTCTCTGGGACCTCTCGATACTCGCCGGTACATTCCAGCTGGAAGCGAACACAATGAGACGCTGGGGTAAAACTACATGCTAGCCTGAAGAGAGACCGCGAATCCTAGTAGTCTCAGCGTGCGTCAGAGATGGAAGTGGCCGCTGCCCTTGGTAACCATCGGAAGTTGTTCTGTCTGATATAGGAAACGAGCAGCAGAGGAACTGGTGTTAGTGAAACTATTTGTGAAGACAGTGGACAGCCTATTCAGAACTTGTCAAAATGCTTTGAGCGTTGGACTGAATATTTTGGAAGGCAGTTTAATCGGCCGGAATTGTTAGATTCCTCACCGACCAGTGATCAACATGGTCCCTGGGCGGTCCCTTTGGACCCACCCTCTCGCCCAGATGTCGAACGTGAGATCAAACTGCTGAAGTTGAATAAAGTCGTGAGACCAGGTGATTTTCCTACAACCCTCTTCTAATTCGGGGGCCCTGCTGTTGTTGATGATGAACACGAACTACTAGAGCAGGAAACTGTCCCAACCGACTGGAGCCGCTCAATTTTAGTCCCAATCTTCAAGGAAGGATCACGTTCGGAATGCGGAAACCAACACCACCAAATTGCTTGCATGCCATCCTTCACAGACTGACTAGCACTTTTGAAGGTCAGATTCATGAGGAGCGGGCCGGGTTTCGACGAAGTCGGGGCCATATCGATTACAAATTCACTTTGCGTCAGTTGTGGGAACACCGTCACATAAACTGGCGGCCCACAGTTGTCATGTTCCTCGATATCAAAGATGCCTTCGATTCGGTAGATCGGTGCCCTTTAAAACTGTCTGCTAAGGAAAGGTGTACCCGAGAAATATGTAAATATTATCCGAGCGCTTTATGCGTGTAGCTCGTGCAGTGAGGGGTTACGACAAGCTGTCGCCGTCATTCAATATCTCCAACAGGGTAAGACAAGGATGCTCACTATCATGATTCCTCTTCAACTTCGTTAATGACCAAGTAATGGAGAGCACGTTCATCCGACAAGATTTAGGTGTGGAGCAGCTACCAGGAGAACGACTTCTTGACTTGGAACATGTTGACGAGATTGCCTTCACATGTGACAACTCACAAAGGTGCACTGGTTGTCAGCCGTTTCGGAACATACTTTGCACCCTCGAAGTGCAATGCTTTCCTCCAGTATTGGCAAGGACCGCCTCCTGCGCTGATTTTTAGTGGGGATCGGATAGAAGTCGTTCAAAAGTCCAACTACCTAGGTAATTGCACCAGCGCCGTTGGAAATGAAAACGACGTCACGAACCGTATAATAAAAGCTCGAAGCGCTTTTGCTAGCCTTCGCCACCTATGGCGGCGACGCGACATCACTCTCTCTGAAGGGTAGAGAGTACAATGCAGCGGTATGTGTGACTCTACTGTACTGTTGTGAAACTTGGCCCAGTAGATCAGCCGAGGCTAGTTGCGCTCGAACACCAGTGTCTTCGCAGTTTGGATCACAGTTGACGGGAACACCGTGTGAGCAATGAGCGTGTTCAATGACATAGGAAGAAGAAGCGAACGGCTCAGCACCGTTATTTCAGACAGCAGGCTCCGATGGCTGGGCCACGTGTTGCGCATGCCAGCTCACCGACTTCCGCGAGGTGCGTTGTTTATGCGCCGCGGTTGTGGATGGAAGAAGAGGAGAGGTGGCCAAGCGTCGACTTGGTTAAGAGAGATGGTCATCACTACGAAGCTGGCCTCGGTTGGAATCTCTCGGATCCCTGGTGGGGTCCGAAAAATGATGAAGGTTTGGCTGGATACACTTGTTGCCATGGCAAGGAACTGACCTCAGTGGCGTTTGTGTCGTGTTTCTTTGTCCACCCCCAGGTCCCGCTTTGCCTCCCTCTCCAACCACGATCTCATATACAAGGCATAACGGAACTCATTTTGCGGCATAATAGCAGAGTGTTAACTCCCACGGAACGATGTCCATCCAATACTGGTGACAGCCGGCGTACCTCCGTTACATGATTTTTCTTTTGTCCTTATGTATTGCATAACACAGGGGGGAAGCGAAGGGGGCGGTCCGACGCGGGCGGCAGGTGACACAGGCCGGCATTTTTAGTGCTGTCAAGTTTTCCACCCCAAACATATTGGGCAAAATATCCCGATAACCTGAGGGTTGAAGATTTTAATGTTACTGCGCATGACCGATAACACGTTTGTGCTACGTGTCAAATCTGTGCAAACGTTCGTTCCAGCAATCCCTTTAGTTGTCTCATTGGGAACATTTTCAGCACACTTACTTCATTGTCCCAAACGATCATCCATTACATTGGAAACTAATGTGCGCTTTACCCTGAGCCGATTGTGTGGCCTTCACACGCCTATACTTCCCTTGGCCAGAGCGAAAATTTCACCCCCAGATCGAGAAGCAAAAGTAGTTGTTGCACCACAGTTGTTGCGGCCCAAAAGTTGAAGTGTTTTCCACCACTAGCTAATGTGTATAGTTATGATGATGAGGTTCAGACATAAATTCGCTCACTAGTAATCCGTTGGAAGGCAGCTGAGAACGAAGCTAGGTTGCTCCAGGTCATCCCTGGTCACGGCCTACCTTTTATGCTCTAAAAACGTTAGTGTACCGTCTAATGGCATTTGAGTATCGTGACGTGGGAGAGCATGCGGTGTCCAACACATTGGATGAAAAGACTGCGCGGATACTGAAACCTACTGCCCGGCGTGACTATCTTTGGCTCACGACCTCTCGGGTTTGTGCTGTGGTCATGTTTAGGTGTTGATTTCTTCACCGTAAATATCACTTGCTATTTTCCGTTGTAGTTGTCATGCAACATGCCGGTCCAAAAGACAAGGACGCAATAATCCCCGTTGTGGAGACAAACGACAGTGGTACTCATTAAACGTTCTTAGTCGCATGCATTTCATGGCATAACAGTGGTAGCAAGCAACAATAAATAAAGTCAGATTGCAACGGCATACACAACCGGAGAGTAGATCAAATCGCACCAACACAGGGAACTGATGCACGTGAAAAGGATAAAAATGAAATTCCGTTGAGATAATGTGTTATAAAAAGAGTTCAACGGATATACAAGCCGTCACACCGAATACAAGTACATGCCTTGAAATCATATATTAAATTGCGCACCTAATCGTCAGCCTTCGGTAGCTCAGTGGTAGAGCAGCGGAACGGAAATTCGTGGGACCGGGGTTCGATTCCTCGTCGAGGCAGATTATTGTGCGCAGTTTAATCGTGACCTACTTTCTACAAACCTTACGCTACTCACAAACACCTTTTAAGTCGAAAATACCCGTAATACTTACAGTAGGCGAACTGCAACAGAAATATTCCAGTGCTTCGTGTTGTTGTTGCAAAGCTAATGAGGAGCTAGAAGATAAGAGAGATCTGAGGCAAGTCTGAATGCATCAGGCTAGCATGCAGGACCAGCACGCTGGAACTAGGACAACACAACGTGATCACATACGGCTGGCCACCGGAGGAGATCCCGACAGTTGCTGCTTTCACATTTTCGAGTCATAAAAAACATTACCTCATGAGCTACTCAGTACCAAACAAACCAGCCGCGAGCCATGGACCGCAATAAATTAAGCCAAAGGTACAGTTGGTGCCGTTGAACCCAACTTGTAAGGAGATATTAATAGAGAAGTCAGTGAATTCATTTCCAGATACAAAGTCAACGATTCATCATCTCGAGCCATACAAAAGATTCAGTATAAAGATAACCGCACTGCTTCTAAATGGATATGGCACTGAGAGTGAAGGATCAATGAAAACCCCAAAAACTCAGTATGGAAGTCATGAGGCCGAGTGCGTGTGCATAAGGAGCAAGAAGCTGGCTACCATGATCGGTTTTGTGGACTGTTTAGAAACATTGTATGCCCCGGGTCTCAGGTTAAGGACACAATGTACAGTGTTTAATATGAGAATGGTTGCAACACGGACAGTATTAAAAGGTTTTTAATAAAGTAAACACTGGTCCCCGTCACACGACTGCGGTAGGTGACCGCAGTTCAGCAGGACTTTTCCTGTAAACGAAAGAGTCGTGGGTGAAAACAAAGGTCTGGTTGGACCAAACAGACGAAACACAAATGCCCTAAAAACAGCTAAGAAGAAAGGCAGTAATATACGGAGAGTATCTGTTTTATAAGTGATGGAACAAGATGATCTTGAAACAAAGAAAATCTGAACAAATGCGGTTAATCTGTGGAGTGTGAAGTCTTCCGACTGCGACCACGTGACGATTTGGAGCGTGCGGGTTTATCAATTGACTGAGAGACCTTCTTCTCCATCTTTTCTTTTTGTGATCTGTCTGCTTTCTGCTTGCTGAGCGGCTTCTTCTGCTATAATAAAGAAAATAAATAAATCAACAAATTACTAATGAGCAGTGGAGATGTTGGCATAATTCAGAGATAACTCATCACTGTCCCCTCTCAATCAACAGGCTTTGGCAAGTCTGGAAAAGCACCAGTCAGTGCCGCTTCCACCTTCTGAGTCTCGTCGGTGGTGCGCCTACCATCGGATCCCTGCCCGGTCCCGACCCAATGACTACCGGATGTCAGCAGCTAGTACCACTTCACCAAGTGTGACAGCCGCATACCTGCATGATTGAGAGTTGACTATGATGTAGCACGGTTCATCTTTCACTGCCATGCCAGTTACGAACGGTGCAGAAGGTCGAAGCAACGCTGCCTGGAGCTTTTCCAGACGGAAGAGAGCCTATGGTGCGCTGAGGCTGGTGGTCGCTACATCCTGACAGATGGTCTACCCACTGCTGCTACTGCTGCGCCATAGTCTCATGTCCTGGGCGCCTCCACGTGGCGACCGCTGGGTGGGTGTTGGGTTACCCCTTTCTCCCTGCTAAGATCCAAGACGCCAATCCGCATGAGTCAGTGAACTGACCATCTGCTAGACCCGCTGCCTATCGGGTGTACATTTAATCGAAGGCTTTGGCTGAGGACCCGAGTCGTTCTCTTGTCAGGTGTGGGGGCCCTGGCAGTATCCTAGTCCATCCTCTTCGGAGGTTAGAAAGTGGTCGATGACCCTCTTCCCTTAAAACCTGACCATGTGAGACAACGGGTCTAAGGGTTATAAGCTCACCGCTAGATTGGCGTAGAGCACGAGCGCCACGCATTGTCTCTAATGCTGGGAGGGCACCTCCAGGTGTTTAATGGTTTGCTACTGCTAGCCTCAAGCCAAGCAGCCCCTTGTCAAATTGGTGCAAACCTGCCAAAACCCACCTGCGTCTGACCGTGGTAGCATGTGAGTATTCTACTACGGTCACAAAACATATATGAATTGTTCTAGATCTCCAATGGGTGCGGTGACGCACCTCAAGCAGAACCCAATCTGTCTCCGCAATCACATTCCCGAGCTGGATCTGCCCCATTGCCTTGTGGGTCAGGCTATTGAGCCAAAGGCTCCGGATGGAGTCGCTCAAGCAAACATCCGAAGCACAATCGCCACCTTACGTGCGATTGCACCCCAATGTAATCATATGCCTGCGCAAAAATCACTCAGCATCGGGTGCTGGAACCTGCGCAGACTAGTGTATCGTAACTCGAATGAGCGCCCCGAGCGACGCAATGCGCTGGTCGCGATGGAAGTGGCTCGCTACCACATCAATATTGGGGCGCTCAGTAAGGCTCAGCTTGCTGACCAAGGTAAGTTGCATGAAGCAGGTGTTGGCTGCACACTTTACTGGGTGGCCAACGGCACCTCAGCACCACTTGAACATGGGGTTCGGATTTGCAACATCCGAACGTACAAATGGCCAACTGGTAGGTGAACCAGCAGGCATCAGCGCGCCACTGATGATTCCTCGCCAACGACACGGAAGAGGTAAGTTTGCCATGTGTTATCCTGATGGCCCACGTGATCAATTCTACACTCAAGTATCCCCCGTGATACGCTCTGTGCTGAAGAGCCACCGACTATTTCTGCTGGTTGATTCCAGCGCGCGCCTTGGGCGTGCTGCATCGGTGTGGAAAGACGTCATCAGTCAGCATGACATTGGTTCAGCGAATGTGAACGGTGACAGGCTGCTCTCACTGTGTGCCACTTATGGCCTAACGATCACAAACACTCGGTTTGCACAGAATGCGAGTGATATAGCAACTTGGATGCACCCACGGAGTGGTCACGCTCATCTACCCAACTATGTCATCGTACGACAGCGTGATAGGCATGAAGTTCGCATGACACGTGTACTGCGTGGAGCTGAGTATAGCGCTGATTACAATTTAGTGCGGAGCAAACTGTACATATATTTTCGTAAGTTTTGCACTCACGCCGTGAATCGGAGAAAAGACAACATCTGCCGCGGTACTATGGAGAAACGTATTGAGCTAGAGAAGACGATGGCTACAGCCTGCGTGATGTGGAATGCAAAGCCAAAGTGGGCGACCTGTGGCACCACATCCGCAACCAAGTGACAGCTGCTGCTGAGGAGACCATCGGGCGCGCAAACTGTAAGCGGCCTGATTGGTTTGATGAGAACAATGCGACGATTGGCTCATTGGTGTGTGAGAAGAATGCAGCATTTGCTGCATATGTGGCAGACCCCAGTGACTTGGAGAAGAGTAGTCAGTTTCGCAAACTTCGATGGCGACTGACCCGAGAGCTCCGTCGCATTAAAAATGCATGGTGGACGGAGAAGGCGAGATAGATGGAATGCTACGCCGAACGCCGCCAACATAAGGAACTCTTTAACTCCTTGAAGGCAGTGTATGGACCGAGGTTGGAGCGGCTGAGGACGCTAATCGATGGTAACTCAAGTGCTACCTGCACACAGACTGCAGATCTGGTAAAAACACTTTGATTGTCTCTTGAACAACCGTTCAGAGATCGACTAGCCTACATTGAACGATCTGAAGCAGCACGATGTGAAGAGACTGGTGGACACGCGGACACTGGATGAGACGTAGACAGCACTAGCACAACTGCGAAACGGAAAGCGTGCCTGTTCCGACAGGATCTCATCTGAAGCATTGAAATACGGCAGACCCGCGTTGGTGACTGTGCTACACCATTTGGTGCAACGCTTGTGGATTGAGGAGGAGATGCATCCTGAGCTGTAGGATGCCCTTGTGCTACCACTGTACAGGGGCAATAGAAGCAAGCAATGTTGCACGAATTATCGTGGCAGCAACTTTCTGAGTTGTGTGGGCAAAGTGATTGCCCGAATCTTGCTCAACCACCTCGTCAGTCAGGTTGTGGAACCGAACATGCGGAAGAGCAATATAGTTTGCTGCTCGTCAGTTGCAAAGTGTAGAGAACGACACCAGCCTTCGTACTCGCTTTTGGGTGATTTCACCAAGGCATTTGATACGGCGAACCGCGAGCCATTGTGGCTGGTGTTGGGTAAGTTAGGCTGTCCGAATCACTTTGTAAGTTTAATTGAATATCTGCACAGTGGTATGCGGGCGAGGATGCAGCTGAGTGGACAGAACTGGGATGTTGCAGTTATCTCTGGTGTGAAGCAAGGCTGTTTTACCTCCTGCCCTTTTCAATAGTTATCTTCAAGTAATGATGTTTTGTGCTCTTGATGCGGCTCGTGCTTACGGTGTTCGTGTGGAGCACCGTATTGATGGTGGGTTGCTGAACATCCGTCGTTTCGACGCCAGAACCCTAGTCTGTGAGAAAACTATCCGTATGTTGCTGTTTGCTGACGACTGTGCGTTGTTTGCACACAGCGCGGATGACTAGTGCTGTGGCTTCGACAGTGTCCAACTTCGGGCTCACCAACACAAGCAAAACTGTCTGTCTCTTTCAGCCTTCACCGGAGGTACAATCTACAATGGTGCCGCGAATCAGCATTAGTGCTTAAGGTTTTAGTAACTACCTCACGTTTCTGCTACCTTAGGAGCGTGATGTCGACTGATCAGCACCTACACAGTGAGCTGCGTATCCCCGTGTCGAAGGCAGCGGCGACATTCGGGTAACTTGAGTACCGAGTGTGGAACAACCATCAGCTTACCATTGGCACGAAGCTGATGGTGTACAAATCCATGGTGCTGTCCGTTTTTTATATGGTAGCGAAACGTGGACGATGTACCGGCGGGATGTGAGATATCTCGAGCGGTTTCAGCAATAGTGTCTGCGACGGATTCTGCGCAACGGTTGATGCGAAAAGTTTCAGATAGGGAAGGGTTGGGCTGAAGTGGAAGGTATGCAGTGGACTGCATACTTTTGCCGAGAAACTTTAGGTGGCTCGGTCATGTGTGGCGCATGGATTCGACCCGAAGCTCGAAGCAGCTGGTATATGGTCAGCTGAGTTTGGGGAAGCGGTATGAACAATGAACAATGATTTATCACGGACAAAAGCAAGTGCTTGACACGTCCCGTAGGATGGTTGGGGTGAATACGATGAAATTAAAAGATATGTGGGTCATCTACCGTGCGTCTACCGAGATGTGGGGAAACTGAAGCTTCGTCACCAGGACATGATCAAAGTGAGCATCTCACGTCAGGTCATGGGAATCGTAGGCGGTTAATCAGCATGCATGGCGCGATCTGATCACCAAGGCAGTTGCCGACGTGCAAGAGAAACCCTTATTGCATGCAGAGAAGAAGCGGCAAGTGCGGAAGCGACAGAGGCCGATGGGTTCTGCTTCATCGACATCGAGCGCATGGAGCTGTAGCACATGCGGCCGCCAGTGCCTGAGTCAGACAGGCCTAGTGAACCATGATCGAGGCCACTCGGGGCCAATACAGAAACGACGAGTCCTGCTGAGAACATAGGCAGAATCGGTGCAGCGTTTGCAGGTACGCTGCATTCGACTTACTAAGCACGCTTGCAGGCTGAGTCTTTTAGTGCAAGTGGTGGATTTGCTATATTGTTCTAATGCTTTTTTATCTCATATTAATATTTACCTGAACTTCTATTAACTTGCACACGTCGCTTAAGCCAAATGTAGTTAACTTCGATAACATTTTCGTATTTGTGGCATTTCATTAAACCTATTTTATTGAACCTACAGCAGATTTGTTGGTAACCAACTTACTTCATATGCTTATTTGGTGAAGGGTTGTCACCATAGTTGTATGCATTATTCGATTTATTTTATTGATATCGTTGTCTCAAGTGATTGGCTGTGGCTTGATATCCCCTATGTGGCTGCGCTAGATGGGCATGTTGACAAGGTGCCTACTTGTCTAGTATCCACTACCTCGTCCATACTGGCTCTAGGAGACAGTTGGTCGTTGCTGGAGGGGACGGGGGTGCACGGTCGTTGTGGTCGTGCTAGGCTCGGAGAGTGGTTCCATGCACTCAGTGTGGAACGGACTACGCTCCAGCCACCGACTTGTGTGCGCTTGATTTCCCAAATACAGCGTTCTT